CATCATGCTTGGGAGGGTGGAGGGACGGTGCAGGAGGGGAAGGCCCTCTATGAGGTGGATTGATTCAGTGACTGGGATAATCGGGTTGGGAGTGTCAGAGATAGTATGATTGGCACAAGACAGAGCAGAGTTTAGGGCTGTTGTACATAGGGTCGCTATGAGTCGCAAGCGACTCGACGGCACATAACAAGAACAACAACAATCATGCTTTTTTCTTTGTACATGTCCCTTTTAAGCTTTCCAGTTTTCTATTCTTTTATTAGAAAAAGGACGTTCTAGAACAGTCAGCAGGAGCTCAATAAAGAATCAGCGGTAAGAGGAATAAGAAGCGAATGGTTTTGAGTGTTTATTATGCAGATTACATGTGTTACCCAAGATAGAGGAACAGAGGTGCAGAAAGGTTAAGTGGTTGCCTATGGTAACATAGTTAGAAAGTGTTAGATTCGGGATTTGAATCCACGTGTGCTTGATTCCAAAGCTTGTCTCTGAGTCTCACTAAAGGGACCACATGAGTCTGCCATGGATTGAAGTAGATGCCATAGAAATTTGTGCTAAACATAATCTGACTTGTCAACTGGAGGCTATGACCTCTGAGCAAATTTTGATATGACAACTTCACAAGGGTTACAAAGTCCACATGACACAATGTCAGAGGGGAACCCCTTTCTTTGAGGACTTCCCTCTCTTTTCTTAGTTGAGCAAGTTATATCTTTGTTAATCTTCTCAGTTGCTCCTTTTATTCTCATTTCTTCTAACTTTGACCTCTCTCTTTCTCATTCATAATTCATAGGAGTTTCCTTAGAGCAATAAAGAAAGACAAGAGGCAAACTACCAGTGCTGGAAGAAGAATCCACAAGTAACAACACTATGAGGGGCTTCTAATGGGAAAAGGAGATGGAGACTAAAAGAATGAAGGAAACTTTGGGTCCAGAAACATAAGGTTCAGAACAGACAACATTTAACAAATATTTCTACCCAATTGTTCTGATTTGTTAAGGATTCCAAGTAGTGTTTTGTTGTTCAGGACCCACAAGGCTACACAAATTCCCTTAGCACTGACATACCTGATTACTGAATTATTCTAGCCACAGAAGAGAAACCCAAACGAGGAACTGAGGTCTATCCCTCTAGTCACTAGTGAAGGGAGCTCTGGTGGCCTAGTGGCAAGAAGCTGTGCTGCAATCCTGAAGACATGCAGTTCAAATCCACCAGTTGCTCTGCAGAAGGACGGGCACTCTCTTCCTGTGTGATTAACTGCCTCTGAAAACCTCTTGAGGGTCATCTGTGGGTTGGTTCTGACTCTATGGCACACAACAAGAATGGTCACTAGTGGATCATTATTATATTATCTTCTTTGAGAAGGGAGGGAGCTCATGGGGCCTAGTGGATAGGGAGTTGTGCTGCCAACCCAAAGGCAGGCGATACTAATCTAGCAGCTGCTCCACGGGAGAGATGGGTAATCTGCGATTTACCATCTCTGAAAACCCACTGGAAGATCGGCTATGAGTCATTTCCCACTGGACAACAATGGGTGAGTCAATGAGATAAGTAAATGCAAGAACCATATTTATAAGACAATAGGTTAAACACAATTACTATCAGACTCTTTCCTTTGGAAAAAAATATAGATATTTCTTCTTTAATATCCTTTCCAATTGGACACAATTGATACAAATTCCATCAACAACTAATACACTGTGGAAAAGTGTAAGCTACAGGGAATGAAGAAATGGCCAAGGGACCAGGTGTTAGAAGGCCAAGATCTTGGTCCTGGCTTTTCTATTAGGGTCCATTCCTTATTTGTTAAGGAGGATGAAGGGTGGAGCATATCTAAACATCACCAAAGCAAAACCAAACCCAGCTCAATATTGTCAGATCCAAGTGACAGTGATCTTCCACCAGGTTCCCAAGGCTGTGCCATCTTTACACAAGGAGACTGCCCATCCTTCTTCTGAGGAGCAGCTGGTGGATGCGAGTTGATGACCTTTCAGTTAGCAGCCTGATGCAATACCACTATGCCACCAGGATTCCTTTTCTAGATGCCACATGACTTCTGAGTCTATCTACCTTCACCCTTCCTGTAAAGCAAGCCAGATGTAGATATAAACTAGTTCTTGATTCTCTTGTTCTGCTGAAGACAGGCAACAGGCCAGTCAGCTCCTCAGGCTCAGAAGTTCAGCTGATGCTCTCTCTGTCTGCCCTGGAGCAGTGCTCTGCTTCGCTTCCATTTCACTCTGATCTCCAGAGTCAGCTGCACCATCCACTGCTTCAACCACATCTCTCCTCTGTTCCACATTTCTATGACCCGTCTCTCTCCTGAATTGATATGAATTGTTCTAATCTACCAGGTGGCTTCCCTGCTCCACTATTCTCATATCCTCATCTCCGGTCTTCCTCATCATGCCTTCTTTTCTGTCTCCAAGCTTTCCAAGCAGTCTTATGATCTGCCCAAGGAAGTTTTATCAGATTTGCTGAGTACAGGGCTGCGTCACACAGCTGTACAGTTTGTATACTGTACAATAGTATCAACTCAGTAGGACAGCTGAGGATTATATTTTGTTTACCAATTCTTGTACCTTGGCTCAAATTTTTGTCTACTGGAGGAAAGGAGCATTCCCCCCCACTCCCCACTATATCACTTGCCCTCCCAGCTATACATCCCACAGGGAGCTCTTTTTTCTACTCTGCACCAGTGTTCTTTTATATGGGTCAGTAATGATCCAAGCTGTGCCTCTCCTGCCCTCTCAACTTTCTCCAAAGCCCAACCTCAATCTTCCATCATCACAACTGTGGAGACATTTTTGTTGGTTTTCTAAACCTGCATTTTTTTCTCTCAGTAAGAACTGAAAACTAGGATCTTGACAATTTTTCTGTATCCTGGTACCTAAGAAAGTTCTCTCCCTCCCTCAACTCTATTCAAGTTCAGTGATAAACAAGGAGTTCAGATTAGAGAACAGGGTAATAATGCTTACGACCTGCAGAATCAGTATATCGACCAAGAGAGTGGTAGTCTTCTTCCTAGTCGGCAGGGCTGAGTTCAAGGGCAGCCTGCACTGAGGTGAGGGCTAGCTGAGAACACCTTCTGAGGGCCCTGGAAGCTCTGTGACTCCCCCTCCAGGAAATGGGGCCAGCTCTATACAAACGCGTTCTTGCCCAGGAGTTTGATTTCTTTTCTCTGAACTCCTGGCACAGCGGCACCAACGTGAGTGGCTGCTTGGCAGGACAGAGAAGGGCAGGCTAGCAGTCCCCAAGCTCGGGTGACAGGGCCAGACCCAGGAGACAGGGATGTTGACTGGGGCTTTAACAGCCTCCTGATGCCAATCTCCGGCTGAAAACTCGATATTTCCACTTGGAACAAGAAGAAACACAGGAAAGAAGGCTGAGGAAAGGAGGGCCGTGTACTGGGAGTGCCCTCTGCAGGTCTCACTGTGGATGCCAGAGCAGAGGAAGGGAGAACATCCTGGACGGTGCTTTGGGGCATCCCTGGGTTGATGACAAGAAGGAGGAGGAAGAAGAAACCAGAAGTTGGCATGAAAATGTAGTCCCTGACTTAGGGTTTAACAACGGTTGTAAAATCAGTTCTGATTTAAATAGAATTACTGACTCATAGCTGACAGCATCTTTCTCCCACAGAGCAGCTGGTGGATTCAAATAGTGTGTCTTTGGGTTGACAGTGCAACTCCTTATCACTAAGCCACGAGAGCTCTAACCACAGTAACTCTAAATCCAGGACTACCAATACTTATTAAGTGCTGGGCATCACTTCATGTAATCCCTACAGCTATCCCAAGAGATGAACAATGATTGTTCTCCTTTGTTTACATGAAGAAACTATGGCTGAGAAAGGTTAAATCATTTGCTAGCAACCAACAGAGTTGGGATTGAAACCCAGGTCATCACTTCTTAATATTACATTGCTGAGCACTGAGTTTCCCACCTTCCCAGTTCATTTCAGGAGCTTCTAACTCTCTAGTGTCTTTTTCTGCTTATTTCTGCTCCTCTAAGTCCTATCTTCTTGGTCTAGCTTTATGGAATTTGGAAAATAAATCAATATTATAATAATAGATATTATTACACTGAGTATAAGAATACTAACAACTATTCATTGTAACTGTGTACCACCTTCTTACTTTAAAAAACCTCTGGTAGTTTAGTGCCTGATGAGCTATATTGCTAAGCAAAAGGTCAATGGTTTGAATACACCAGCTGTTCCTCAGGAGACAAATGGGCTGTCTCCTCCCATAAAAATTTAGACTCAGTGGCAGGTTTGCTGAGTCTGGGTCAAAATTGACTTGATGGCAGTAGATTTGGCTTTGATGTCTTATAATAGATTGAACAACCCTGAATCAGGTAAGTGAAGTAAATTCTATGGGTCACATAGCACATAATAACTAAGACTAGAATCTCCCAGTCCTTTATACTAAAATAGAGGCAACAGTTTCACATCCCTTTGCCAGGTCATTCTTTTTCCCTCTAAATACCCTCCTTCTGGGCCAGGCTACCTCTCCATGGCTACCTGGCTCTAAGTGGAGAATGTGATGGTGGGCCTGGCCCCGGAGCAGTACCTGCACCCAGAAATTAGGTGATGAGTTACTAGTTCCTACATAGCACCCTGGATTCTCAGGAAATCAAATTCCCTATTTCCAAACTCACTAGCTCCTGGTTGGGTTTTGGTAGGGGGGTTTTGTGGTGTGTTTTGGGGTTTTTTTTTCTTCAAAGCAAGGAGCTTCTTAGTAAAGAATCAGCATGCCAGCTTTTGTTTTCTTTTTGTTTTTTTCCTGAGGGGTGAGGAGGCGAGCTCTGAGTTGTCCAGGAGGAGGGAATTTGGACTAAAAATAGCTATGGCGTGTGGATCAGCTTCTAGTGGTACCCAGGACTGGAGAAGGGAGGGGATGCTGTGGAGCTGTCGCCAGACTGGTTACTGTGGAAACCGGAGAGAAGCAGGGGAGCCTGGGAAGTAGGGATGACACAGATAGCAAGTCCTAGTCAGAGCTGCCGCTACATTTAGAAGAAACATCAGTGACTCCGGTTTTTACACTCCAAGGGAGCTCAGGAGTGGGGCTGTGTCAGGGGCATGGACGCCATCTCCCAGGGGTCTCTGCTGCCGGCTACGCTCCTCTCCACGTGCTGTGAGTTGAGTTGCGGGGAACTTGGGGTTTAGGCCCCTATTTCCAAGGCAAGTAGGGGTTTGGGAAAAGCTAGTTCCTAGGGGAGCTTTCACTAGACCCTCTTCCAGAAAAATTAGCTTCTCTTCAGCCCAGTAGTCTCCCCAAGGGCAGGGAGAGAGGACCCAGGAAAACCTGGCACTGGGATCTTTGGAAGGGGGTCACATTTTGCATAAGAAATGGGGAGGAGTATATTGGTGGATCTGGAATCATTGGAGGAAAAACGCAGGAATTGAATCCTTGATCTTGGAAAAAGGCAACAATTTCACAGTTTTCCTTCCCCATTAAAAAACAAACAAACAAACAAAAAAACAAAAAACCAGTCCTCATTCAAGAAGATGCGAGATGGGACACAATCAGAATAAGGTCCCAGGTCCCAGGAGTAATGGAGAGAGTTCTAGAGGGTATCAGATGCTGGACAGAATCTAAGCAGATTGACTTGGGGCCGAACTGCCTACGATCCTGAGGCCCTAAAACAAAATCTAAGATGAGCGGGCCCTTGGTACTTTTCTGCATGATCTTGGGCCTCTAGGCTAGTCCGTGCTTAGAGATCACTTCCTGAGAACATCCTGAGCAACTGAGAGGGAAAAGGAGGTTCATGGTTGGGGGAGGGGAAGACCTTAACCTACTATTGCAATGGGACTGCTGGACCCTGTTTGCCAACTACTGCAAAATGATTATGTGTGTGTGTTTGTGTGTGTTGTGAGGGAGGGTATCCCTAAATTCTCAGTCATATGTGGTTTCTCCTTCTCCCCCCCCCCACTCTAAAACACACACATCTCAAAGGTCTGGCTACAGGGCACCTCACTTCAGGACTGAAATCCTGGAGCACTGGCTTTAGTGTCATGCATTCAGGCAGTCTCTGCAGGACCTGGTCAAACTTCCAGGCCATCTGTGATCCTTCTGTCACCCTCAGCCAGGCCCTCAGGTTGGGGGAAGGGATGAAGGGCAATTCCCAGGGACTCCAGAATTCTTATTCTACAGTTTTATTTGTAGGGTTCATACTCCCCAAAGCTCTCAGGTGCCTAGGATGAGCTCTGGGTTTCTCAGGACAGATTGTAGCCCAGTTACTGGGAAGAGAATATAAAACAAATTCAGGTGGGCTTGGATTTGAACGTGGGCTTTGGGGCATATGGCAGGTGGGAGGGGGCTGGTGTTAGGATAGTCACTGGAAAGGAGGAGGCTAGAACTGGGAGGGGGAGTAAACGTGGGTGCTTAATGCTTCTCTTGTTCATATTAATATCTATCTCGAAGAACAGGATACTAGCAGGACACAAGCCTAACTATTGATCAACTTTGTACTCTTTCCCTGGGCAGCTTTGTTCTCATAGCCTTCAGTCCTCTACCCTAATCTTATATTCGGATTGTCAATACCAAGGAAAAGAACCCCAGAAACGGGGCTGGCAAAATTATAGCATGTTCAGGTTAGGGCTCAAGGAATGTCCAGTCCTTGCTCACTGGAGATTTGTCATTTATTTCCTACAACTTTTCCAGTTCTTTTACCTTGTAAACCTGTTGAGTGGGGATACAGTGAGTGAGGTAAAAGAAGGGGAAAGAGAACGTGTCAATCTTGGGATAAACTACTACTAGGTTGAATTGGGGGAAATAGGGGTAAGGGGATTGCTTTGAAAGCAGCCAGGGAAGGGGTGGAGAAAGTTTTAGGGGAGAGAAGGCTGTGGACACAGTAGACTAAGTGCCTGTCTTCAAGGAACCCACAGTATGAAGACTTCAGGGTAACTCCCTCCTTGTGTGGGTCTTTTAGAGGTATTGGGATGCAGATTTCTGGTATCTATTCCTGAAAGAATAATCGAAAGTTCATAGCGCTATCCATTTACAGTATCCTTTGCATCCTCTCAACTTTCCGAGTTGTTCATATTGCTCCCATTCTACTGATGCAGAAGCTGAGGCTCTGAGACTCCAAGTGACCTTCTCTGCCCCCACCCTCCTCCAGGAAGCAGGTGCCGAGTCCTCCGGTGCAGCGGGTTCATTAATGCCATAACCCTTTATTAAGCTCTCGTAGGACCCCTGCTGCCGCCGAGGAGCCGCGGGAGGGGCCCCGCGTGGCGGCGGCCCGGGCCCCCAGCGCGCCCCCGGCGCCCGCGGTGCTCGCCCTGACGCGGCCGCCATGGCGCAAGAGAACGCGGCGTTCTCGCCGGGGCCGGAGGAGGCCCCGCGCCGCCGCGGCCGGCAGCGCTACGTGGAGAAGGACGGCCGGTGCAACGTGCAGCAGGGCAACGTGCGCGAGACGTACCGCTACCTGACCGACCTCTTCACCACGCTCGTGGACCTGCAGTGGCGCCTCAGCCTGCTCTTCTTCGTGCTCGCCTACGCGCTCACCTGGCTCTTCTTCGGCGCCATCTGGTGGCTGATCGCCTACGGCCGCGGCGACCTGGAGCACCTGGAGGACACGGCGTGGACGCCGTGCGTCAACAACCTCAACGGCTTCGTGGCCGCCTTCCTCTTCTCCATCGAGACGGAAACCACCATCGGCTACGGGCACCGGGTCATCACCGACCAGTGCCCCGAGGGCATCGTGCTGCTGCTACTGCAGGCCATCCTGGGCTCCATGGTGAACGCCTTCATGGTGGGCTGCATGTTCGTCAAGATCTCGCAGCCCAACAAGCGCGCCGCCACGCTCGTCTTCTCCTCGCACGCCGTGGTGTCGCTGCGCGATGGGCGCCTCTGCCTCATGTTCCGCGTGGGTGACCTGCGCTCCTCGCACATCGTGGAGGCCTCCATTCGCGCCAAGCTCATCCGCTCGCGCCAGACGCTCGAGGGCGAGTTCATCCCGCTGCACCAGACCGACCTGAGCGTGGGCTTCGACACGGGCGACGACCGCCTCTTCCTCGTCTCGCCCCTCGTCATCAGCCACGAGATCGACGCCGCCAGCCCCTTCTGGGAAGCGTCGCGCCGAGCCCTCGAGAGGGACGACTTCGAGATCGTAGTCATCCTCGAGGGCATGGTGGAAGCCACGGGTGCGGGCGGGCCCTGGGAGGGGAGAAGGGTGGGCTGGCAACTTGGGGTGGAGGGTGTATGACAGGATGGAGAATGGAGTGGGGGGAAGCTGGTACTGGATTCAAGGAAGAGGTCCCAGAAACGACCCAGCAGAGGGCTAAGAGAAAGTCTGGAGGAATGCCCAGAAATGGCCCTAATTTGGGGCCTTGGGCTGAAAGGTATCGCTTGATATAAAGAAGAGAAATAAGAAAAGCAGAGAGAGCTATGATGGCCTTGTGGCTAAGAAATTTTACTGCCAACCCGAAGCAGTTAGAATCCACTCTACAGGAGAAAGATGGGCAGTCTCCTTCTATGCTGTTTACAGACTCTGAAAACCTCCTGGAGGGTCAGTTATAAGTCGTGTCTGATTCTAAGGCATATAACAAGAAGCCCTTTTGGTGGAGTGGCTAAAGCATTCAGCTCCTGACACAAAGGTCAGCGGTGTGAAAAAGCCTGTCTGTGAAAGATGTGGCCATCTGCTTCCAAAAGGCTTAAAGCCTTGAAAAATCCCATGAGGCTTTTCTCTGAGTAATCCTATTACTCTGTCCTATAGGGTACTCTCATATAAATTCGGATATCTGAGCAATGAGTTTGGTCTGGTAATAGTAATAATAATAATAATAATAATAATAATAATAATAATAATAACTAATCTTCATTGAGTGAGTTCTGGGGGCCTAGTGATAAGGAGTTAGCTGCCAACCCAAAGGCACTCGGTTTGAATCCACTGACTGCTCCTTGGGAGCGGTCAGTCACTTCCCTTTTGATTTACAGCCTCTGAAATCTCACTGGAGTGTCAGCTATGTGTTGGTTCTGACTTGATAGCACACAACAATAATATTCAATAAATGATTAAGAGCCCTGGTAGTGCAATATTTAAGTGCACAGCCACAAACCTAAAGACTTATGGTTAGAACCTACTTAATGACTTCTGTCACTAGGAAGTGTCTTCCATGTGGAAGACACTTACCATTAACGTCTCAATGAACTAGTGGCTAATTAGCCATAGTCACACTGACTGTGGTGATATCTTTGCATTGAGGTGCTGTGCTGTAATTCCAAAGACATTCAGTTCAAATCCATCAGCTGATGTATGGGAGAAGGATGGGCGGTCTCCTCTCATGCAATTTACTACCTCTAAAAACCATCTGAAGGGTCAGCTTTGAGTTGGTTCCAACTCAACAGGCACACAACAACAATCCAACGAGGCTTTCAAGGCCTTACCATAGTCAAGATACTTACTCTATGTTATACACAGTTATGAAGCACTTTATACCTATGAGTTAGTTTATGTAAAAACACTGTATTGTGCTCATTTCTCAGAGAGGAGATTGCCCTAAAAAGAGGTTGATTAAATTGTCCACAGTCATAAGCTAATAAAGTGGCAGGTACACTTGGGTTAACACAAGCAGTCTGGCCTCAAACATTTAGTGGCACTGAGCTGGAAAGAGCCAAGTTTAACGTTCTTATTGCTGAGAAACCTGGACTCCTAGAATTTGGTAGTGACCTGAATTACTCCCAGGTTGGACTTTGGGGAGAGGCTGATCCTGTATTTTCCCTCAATTTCCTCATGCATCTAAGCTCTCACTCTCCAGGGAAGTAGATAATCTTAACATGTCTTGCCTCTTCCAGAAGGAAACTGGCAACTCCCTTGTGATTGGATGACAATGCATCCAACTGAAGCCTACACAGTGAAGGGTTTGGGAATAGGTAGGAAAAGACCAGCAGTACCAGAATCGCAAATGAGATCCATCAGGATTTGAGATCTTGAGATGGACCAGGATTTGAGGTAGATAAAGGAGCTTCAGAGAACTCTGGTGGCTTAGTGGCAAGGAGTTGCACTGCCAAACCAAGGCAGGCAGTTGGAATCGTAGGGCTGCTCCTTGGAAGAAAGATGAGCAATCCCCTATGTGAATCTCCTGAAAATCTACTGAAGGTTCAGCTATGAATTGGTTTCCATTTACGGGCATACAGCATCAACAAAGACGCATTTCAGAAGGAGAACCAAAGATCCATCAGGAGGTGCTGCAATTCTGCCACAGATGAGTTTCTGTTACCCACTTTTGGCTTCTCCAAACAGCTGTTGCTTTCAAAACCTTGCAAGCTGAGTCTCTGCTTCACCTCTCCCTGCATCATTCCTCCATCCATTCCCCAGCTCCCCAGCTCTTTCCCTTCCCCCAGTTTCCTCTTAACCTGTATCCTTCCAGTTGTCATTTCTGTTTAATCATAACAAGTAGTCCTCTATCTTTACAGAGCAACTCCTAGGCAAACCTCTCTTCCCTCTGACTCTCCAGCTCCTCTCTCCCCAATGTCTCTGTTGCCTTCCCTTCCCCTCCCTTACTAAAGCCAAATCCACTGCCATCGAGTCATTACCAATTCATAGCATCCCTGTAGGACAGATTAGAATTTCCTCATAGACTTTTTCCAAGACTGTAAATCTTTCTCGAAGCAGATTACTACATTCTTCCCTTGTAGAACATGCTTGTGTGTTTAAACTGCTGACTTTGTGGTTAGCAGCCAAGCTCTTTAACCACTGTGCTACCATGTTTTTTTTTTCTCTTCTGCCTCACTTCCTCCACTACTTTCTATTCCACCTCTACAACAGGAACAAAGAAAACCAGTTACCCAAGGTGGCTTAGGGAAGGGAGATGAGAGCCAAACTTCGGGCAGCTAATGTCCACTCTTCTGCCCCTTTCACTTATTCTGAGGTGGATACAGGATAGGGGAAAGACCCTGGGATGGGAGGATAATGCCCTGCCCTGTGGGTGCCCATTCAAAGGGGGCAAGGATGTCTGAGGTGAAGGGGGGAGAGAGAGGGATGAGAGCTTACTTGATTTTTTTTCTAGAGAGACAAAGCTGGAAAGGATGGTTAATATTTGAGGTGAGAGAAATACAGGATTCATAGTGGTTTTCAAAGGTAAGAATAATGAGCCAAAGCCCAATAAGATGACATTTTAAAGGAATAAATATAAAATTCCACTTTTAGACTTTTTTAAAAAGCACTTATGTAAGCACAGCATGGAAGAGCTCTGATAAAAAAGAACTGGAGGTTTTAGTTGGCCACAGGCTTGATGTTGTAGCAATGTGATGCAGCTTCCAAAAACGATTATGTAATGTAATCTTCAAAAAAAGAACTCCAGCTCACTGCTCATAGCAGCCTTCTACCGGATTTCTGAGGCTGTAAATCACAGCAGGAGAGGATTGCCCTATCTTTCTCCCTCAGAGCCACTGGTAGATTTGAACTGCCAGAAACATGCAGGGAGGTTAGCATGCAGCAAAGTTAGCAGCACAGCTTGCTAGGGAGTTGGCCTCCAGAACCCCCTAATGTATTCCCGGGCCCTGTTAACTGAAGCGCTGTGACCAGAACAGAGGTGTTGGGTCATCTCATGCATGGATCATTACACATGCATGGAGTGTTTATCAAACTTGGAGTTCTAAAAGTGGGACCCTTGGCTCTTTGTGTTCTATAATTCGAAAGGTAAAAGGTTTGGAAGTCAGGCCAAATGAAGAATGCTAACAGGAACCAGGGCTGCTTGGCTTGGTGAAGAAAAGACATGAGAGAACCTGAGACTTCTCTTTCAGACATTTACAGTAGGGAGCATGGAACTAATGGATAAAAATATCTTAGGAATCAGACGTCAGTTCTGTATGAAAAAGAACTATTAGAGCTGTCGCATCAAGGAGTGGACTCCTTGTGAAGTGGTGAACTCTCAGTTCTGGGAAGTGATCAAGTAGATGCTAGATGCCCACTGTTGGGGGTGGCCCAGTGGGTAGCCCTGATGGAGTGGGAAATTAGATTAGATGGTCCCCAAGGCCAGTTTCAAAGTTAAGCGTCTCTGTTCTCAGTAGCATATGGCCAGGTTTCTGGCATCACCAATGAAGAGGAAAAAAGAGTGTAGCCAGAAAATTAAGAGTTGGGGTAAATGAAAGAATTGGGGCTGAGAAGTAGGAAAGGCTGGGACAATAAGGCCTTTCAGACAGGAACATAAGGAAGATTGCTGGGCACAGGGTTGTAGAATAAAAGGTAAGAGAGAGAAGCCTGGGAGTGGGGCCCCCTTGACCCATGTCCCTGTCCCCAGGAATGACATGCCAAGCCCGGAGCTCCTACCTGGTGGACGAGGTGCTATGGGGTCACCGCTTCACGTCAGTGCTGACCCTGGAGGATGGCTTCTACGAGGTGGACTATGCCAGCTTCCACCAGACCTTTGAGGTGCCCACACCCTCGTGCAGCGCCCGGGAGCTGGCTGAGGCAGCAGCCCGCCTTGACGCCCACCTCTACTGGTCCATCCCCAGCCGGCTGGATGAGAAGGTGGAGGAAGAGGGCTCAGGAGAGGGGTCAGGTGGGGGCGCCGGGGCAGATAAGGAGCAAAATGGCTGTCTGCCACCCCCAGAGAATGAGTCCAAGATGTGACCAGTTCTCTCTAGATTCCCCTGTGGTAGACCAGGGTGGCCAGACACAGGTACCTGGGGAACTGGGGCTGGGAGGCAGGCACGGCCCCGGGGGAAGTGCTAAAGCTGGGGAATTTTCAATCTAGGACCCAGTCTAGAAGGAAGGGGTCCTGATTTCAGACAGAAGGGTGGAGATGGGTGAACATATCAGCCTGTCAGGGTTTGACCTTCACATCTGCTTGTGGGAGGATGGATGGACAGAAGGATGGGCATACAGAAGGCCTATGGGAAGGTGGTGATAGACAGGGATGGATGGATGAACGGATAACAGGTAGTGCACTCAGGGCAGACACTGATCCCTCGAGCATCTTTATGCAAATCCTAAACCCTTTCCCTCCATACAAACTGTTCCAAACCAGAGTGCATGGATCGGAGGTGGGATTTCAGCCCTCGTCCTCTCCTCAGCCAGCCCACCCCTCCCGCATGTATGGCGCACCTTCCTGACTGGATACAGTAGATACAGTAGCCTAGGTGAGCCGTATGAAAGAAAGCCAGCTGGAGAAAGCACAGATGAGAAGCTGCCCTCCCAGCCCCTCTCCTCTGTCAGGTGGGGCAGCAGGATGAGGGGCTGCAGGGAGGCCTTGGAGAGTGTGAATGACCTTAGTCCATTTGTGCAGAGAAGCAGACAGTGAAGGGGATGCCAGCACGATGGAGGAGGCCTCCCACCCCCCTGCCCCAGAAGAGAGCACCAGGGATGGCTGGTTTTTGATGGTGAAGGAGGAGTTTACAGGCAAGGCAGAGGTGGGAGGAGCAAGAGGGCTCCAAAGAGGAAGAACCAAGGGAGAGAGCAGAAACAGTGGTGTCTAGAACTGGGACACCTTTGGGAGAATAAGGTTTGTCCTGGGGCACTTGGAGGGGGTGTCATTCAACCAGTGATGGGTGTCCTGTAGGTACTGCACTAACCCAGGCACCATTTAGTATGCATATTCAGGAACCTCCTGTGTCCCGGTGTGTGTGTGTGTGTGTGTGTGTGTGTGTGTGTGTGTGTGTGTGTGTGTGTGTGTGTGAAGAAATTTGCCTACCACAGCAGCACTTTAGAACACCTGTGGGTATACTGCAAACTCTGACTGGAGAGGATCTCTGTCCTCTCAGAGCGGGGAGTGAGGCTCTTGGTGATCAGAAAACTAAGGATGGAGCAAAACACCGTGTGCTGATGTTGCTGGTCTGGAAATGCTTTGCAAACCAGGCCTCTTGGCAAAGCCTGAAGATTCCATCAGGTGGTGTGGCATATCCTCTGAGGGAGTATGGGAGGTCAGGGAAGGTGGGAAACAGTTATGCAGAGGATTGTGTGTGGCAAAGGGGGCCAGGAGCTTGTCAGTCAGTGGAAACAGGGTACAACAAGCTGGAGATCATGTCTGAGAAAATGAGCAGGCAAGATAGCTAGGAGGAAGCAGTTAGGACACCTTATGGTGACCCCTGAGGAGGTGCTGGCGTCTGGAGTAGGTCGGGCATTAGTGGCCCAGGAAATCAGATGGATTTCCTCATAGGAGGTCTTAAGAGGCAGAAGTTGATGAGGAAGAGAAGGTGGGAAAGAATCCCAAACATCTGAAGATGCCTGGGGTCTGCAACCTGTCCAGCTGCAACAAGGCCCCTGGAGACATATTTCCATTCTACCTCCACCCTCTTCCGGTCTCCTCCCAGTAAGCTGGGGTGGGCCAGCCCCCAGAGGTGATGAAGGAAGTGTAACAGCAGATTGAAAGGGCAGAGGATGAAGAAACCTGAAGCTAGTCTCCTGGGAGGAAAGTGTCAGCCCAACAGGGGCCTAGCCATCTACAGCACTTTCTTGGCAAAGACCTCTCTGCTCCTTGGCCCTGGCTATACCCACTCCTGCCCTTTCATAAAGTCTAAGCCCTTGGGGAAAGCACCCCAGTTTGCTCTTTTCCAGGCAGAGGGAGGTCACCCCAGCCTGGGTCCACTCGGAGGGGACCCGAAACCCATTCCCCTCTCTATATACACGGGGGTCTCTGCTTCAGGTCACAGGGCCTCTTGGGTTGTCATTAATGAAAAATGGAGTCCCCAAACCCTGGCATTGAATGTTAAAGAAAAAAAAAACCAAAAACAACAAACACCAAATTTGGTCTGGGTATAAAGTACTTGATTTATGTTTAATTTTTCGAAACAGCTGGAATCTGGATGGGATGGGGTGAGTAGCTCGGTGTACACACAGACACACCCTACACCCTCTTACCCTGCAGCTCTAGAATAGGATCTGCTTGCCCTCTAGAAGTCACACCCCTCACAACTCAGCAGCTGCTCAGAGACACCACAGAGGGCAACGCACTGAACCTGAATTCTAATCCTGACTTAGTTCCATGACTTTGGCTGGTGACATCACATCTCTGGGCCTCAGATTCCTCGTCTGTAAAAATAACTCTTTACAAACTGATAATGCTCAATAAATGTCTCAAAATGGAACTGAAAGATGCAGAATGAGTACCTCTTAAAGTACAGTGTACTGAAGCATTCTAAGATCAGAGAATTCTTAGACAAACCCAGGAACCCTGGGGCACTGGGAGGGCTAAAGATGGGGCTGGCGGGCAAATGTAGGCAGGGGCTTGGAGGACAGCCTTCCCCAAGCAGCTGCACTCAGGGGCTTCTATTCTTCTGCTGTCAGACTGGATAATTAAGGTCAGAAGGCAAGAGGCTAAGGCTCCAGGCTCTAGTGGGAGGAGCCAAGCCAAGACTAGCAGGAGAATGAGTCAGGCAGAGTAGCCCAGAAGGGTCTACAGAACTCAGAACAGGGCCTGTCCTTGGAAGCCCTTCACCCTGTTACATAGGGAGACTAGAGGAGATTGGGGGAGCTCAGCTGAAACCCAGCTTTCCCATTTTGTGCTCCTTTCTCAGTGGGCGTTGATCAGGAATAGGCTCAGCTCTGAGAGCTCAGGCAGCAGATGGGACCCAGGTGTCCCCTCCTGGGGTGGGTGGCACGGCCCAAGGAAGCCAGATGGTGTTTGTGATGGGAGAGACCTGCATTGTCCAGAATATGTTGTCAACCCCCATCAACTTCCCAGCTCCCCACTTCCAGCCCTTTCCAGCCTCCTAACAGAGAAGACACAGCCCCAATATTTAGAAAAATCCAGTTTATTCACATTTTAGAAAAAACTAATTCTAGGGCAAAGAATGCCCTCACTATGAGATGGGTATGTGATCAAAAGAAGGCCAGAGGAAGGAGGGTGGGAGATCTCCACTTAGGAAGGAAGGGGTGAGGCGTGGAAGCCACACCCTGTACTCTGGGTGGAGGCAGGTCAAATAACTTAAAGCATGTGGTGGGCAGAGGAAGAGGGTGTCCAGGCATCCAGAGGAGAGCTGGGAACTGGGCTGGAAGACAGTCAACACCTGCAAGAACTGGAGAGAGAGAGACCATGGAGTGAGCTGAAAGACAGTGAGCCCAGGGATCCTTCTGGGTTCTCACCCTGTTAAAGGGGTAGAAGTGATGGATGGCTGGTCCTCCCCCAGGACTTGGGGACAGAAGATGAGGCTGAAAGATTCTGCTGCTTCCTCACCTGGAGATGGAGGAAATCATCGTTTGCGTAGCCTCTTCATGAAGCAGCAGGTGATGGTGCCCAGGACAGTGGCTCCAGTGACTAGGGCAATCCCAACACCCACCAGCAGGGGCATGAGCAGGGTGTCCAGGGCTAGGAGAAAGAGAGAGGACAGCAGTGTTTACCTGGAGTGCCCCCACCCACTGCTACCTTTGTCTCCTTCAAGCACTTTCCCCATCAAGTTCCCAGGTCCCACCTTTTCCTGACTTCCAGACTCCCCTCCCCTCTCAGCATTTCAGGGAATATGAACCACAAAGAACCCTGGTGCATATGGGTACTGAAAACTGAAAGCTGATTTCTCAAAGCTCTTCATGAAAAGGAGACAGAGAGGATAGTAGCAGGAGAGTGAGAAGATGGACAGGGAAGGACAGGGCATACATAGGGCTGGGAGGAAGACAGAGTGAGGAGGGGTGGGTGGTAAGTCACTCACCATGCATGTAGGGGTAGACTGTGATGGGCCCGGAGCGGGCACTGCCAGCTTGGTACCAGCTGTAGTCAGCATGCTGCACCCAGGCGCTAGGGGCGCAGTGGTACACGCCTTCATCCTGGGGTCCCAAACTGTGCAGCCTCAGGCGATGGCTTCTGGGCCCCACCAGCTCCACACTGATAGGAGCTCCTCCAGGCCGGACTCCCAGCTCAGCCACGCCATCCTGGCCCACGCCACCCACCAGCTGGGCAGGGCCATGGCCCTGCTCCCCCTCCTCTGGCCGTTCTACCCACCAGCTGGCGGCGAGCCGCAGCCCTGGGGGGCCACCCCGCACAGAGATATTGCAGAGCAGGGAAGCAGTCTCCCCCCGGTACACGGTGCCTCCTGCGAGCCACGCCACTGCCTCCAGCACCACTCCTGCAGGAGAAAGGGTAGAAGGTCAGAAGGCAAAAGTCATGGGGTATGGAGGAAGAGGTGCTGCCAGGGAGTTGCCCCGATCCTGGAAGTGTGTGAGACATGCTGGTTGGAGGTAGTGGATGGGAGAAAGACAGCTAAGGAGAGGGAGGGCAGGAGGATAGAAGGTTCTATAAACCCTGTCAAGGGTCTGCCCCTCTCACCTTCCTCCCGCACGTGCACAGGGAGGGGCCGGGAGCGGGCACTGGCTGCCTCCCGAAGCCGGGCCCCAGACCCTCGGACGTAGGCTTTGGCCAGGCATCGGTAGGTACCCGCATCACCGGGCCTGGCAGCCTCCAGTCGAAGCCGGTAGGTCCTGGATGCCACCTTCTCCATAGCAATGTGCCGGCCCTCATAGCCAGGGCCCAGGCTACCCACACCTTCAGTGTCCAGCTGGGCTACCAGGCGGCCAGGCCCAGGTGCTCCCGCTGGTGCCATCTCCCAGCCCACAGAATAGGCAGCATGACGGCCTTGGGGGGGCAGTGCTCCCGACACATTGCACAGCAGTTCCAAGGGTTCTCCAGGGCCAATCCGACGTTCACCAGGTCCCACTGCCACGGCCAGCTGGCTGGCTGGAACACAGGAGGGGAGAGAGTCACGGAAGCCTGATAGGCACCCCTGGCTACTTAATAGGCACAACTTTGAGGCGTCCTACCTGCCTCTCACTGGGACCCCAACTCCCAGGTCTGATTATCTTCCCATCCAGGCACCTGAATCTCACCTTTCAGCCATGGTCCTCTGATTTCCACACCCAGTTTCAGAGCAGAGAAAACCCATTATGAATAGAAAGGAGACTAATGGTAAGAAGACTGCTCTTCCTAGTGACAGTGGGTTCCCACAAGTCAGACACTGCCCATTTGGCCGTGGTGCCCAATAAGAGGCAGTCCCTCCCACAGCCCACCATGGAAGAGGTGGCACTCACACAGTGTCTGCACGTCCACATGGGCCAGGACGGCTCTCTTCTCTGCGATCTGGGCCCAGCTGCCATCAGGATCCTGAATCCACTCGGCGGCTGTGCAGTGGTAGGTGCCTGCGTCCCCTGCCTGGGCACCTCCCACCACCATGTGGTACCGGTCACTCCCCTCCTTGCCCAGTCGCACTTCTCCTGAGGCCAGACGCTCGGCATAGGGGGCTCCCGCCTCCACCGCCAAGTCTGGCCGCAGTCCCACCACTTCCTGCAGAGTCGCTCGCCCCACTGGTGCCTCTGGCACAGCTCGCCCAAAGGACACTGCCAAATGTGTGTGCTGCTGTGTGTTCGTCTGTGCCACGCAGCCCAAGGCCAGCTCTTGGCCCTCGTGTAGAGTCAGGCGAGGGGGTGAGGTTGGCATCTGGCGGTTTCGGGACCCTGAGGGGGCAGCTGACACGTGCAACATATCTGGAATAACTGAAGAGAAGAGCTGGAATGAGGGAAGGCTGGGGCTTATAGTTCTTCGCATTGTTTCCCCTATTGGTCGTTACTGTTAACTGCCGTCGAATTGAGCAGGACTCATAGTGACCCTATGAACAAAAGACCCGAAGCCTTTCTATAACTATCATCATTTATCAAAGTTCATAGAGTTTCCAGAGGCCTGTTGTTTAGGAAGTGGATGCCACTCCTGCATCCAAGTTTCCTCTATGTTCAATCTATTTTCTCACATAGAGCTCCTGGAGGGTTGAGTATAACTCGGGCATAGTGCTAGGCACACATCAGACATTCAATAAATACTGTTTGAACTGAATAGAAACAGCAAATTAGCTACTCAGGACTACCCTATGTTTGCAATACTCAGAAACTGGCTATCTTCCTTCTCAGAAAGCTGTTTAAGAGAGTAAGAAGGCCACGTGCCCCAGCTCCTCCAACCCTACCTCTGCTTTGGTTTCTGTTTCCCCCTAAATCTGGACCCTGGAATCTTCAGAAGAAAAGTCTATTCAACCCACCCAATCAGGGTGCGTTAGGTAGCCAATATTTTAAAACAAACAAACAAACAAAAAAGAGCAGTAGACTGGAATTGAGAGATCACGGTTTGATTCCGACCAGCTACTCATTTGTTAGGTGGCTTTGTGTAAGTTACTTAATTTTTCTGGGCCTCAGATGTTTTAGTTGAAAATTTCTAAGTGGTTTCACAGGTCCCTCCTAGACTAACTCTGTTTTTAGGGTGAGCCCAACGTGGTCCCTCCTGGGGCCCAGTACCTCTTAGCTCCACCTTGCCGCTGTAACTGCCCAGGTAGTGGGCATCCGTGGAGGGTGTGTAGCACTCATAAATGCCAGCATCCTGGGCCTTCAGGCGAGCAATCTTAAGTACAACAGCATCACCCTGCAGACGCTGGATCTGCACCTCACCAGCAGCCACGCGGGGCACAAAGACTGTGTAGGAGAACTGGACGTCCTTGGTACTGATAATGCCCACTGCCGCCTCAGGGGCCTCAGGCCTATACAGGAACCACTCAAAGTCCTGCTGGGCAGGGCCTTCGTAGCCGCTGACATTGCAGGGAATGGAGACAGCCGTGCCAACGACTCGGTACAGGGGTCCCTCTGGGACCAGCACTTCTCGGGCATAACATCCAGCTCCTGCAGAAAGAAGAGCAGGAGGGGTTGGAGCTGCCAGAGTCCCTGTTTCAGCCCCGAGCATTATCCTGCTGCTGCTCATAAAAAGAAACAAACAAACAACAACAGCACCCAAATCTGGAGGAAGTTGGTAGTCAGCTTGGGCTTTATCCTGAGAATAGGGAAGGAGGGCTGGGAGGTCAGACATCTAATCTCCAGGAGATGGTAGAGGCCCAAGTTGGCCTCAGAATTCAGAAGCATCCCATTTCTGGAAGACCAGAAGGAGAGTGCCTGAGGGCAGAAAGGGGCACAGCTGGTTCCTCACTTAACCAATTCTGTTATTCTAGCTATACCCATGTTTGCACAACCCCCACTGACCCCCACTCCATATCAGCTGATTTTCCCTCAGAGCCTGGTCAGGAGAGCCTCCTGGCTGAAAAACTCTAATATCACATATCCCCCTCTTTTGCTTGAGAGGAGCTGGCAAAATCTTGATCAGAATGGCTCGATGGCTTGGCTGTGTCACCTGGGCCATGGGTTCCAGACAATGGAGCCAGTGGCCCAAGTCGGGCCAGGGCACAGACCCAGTCAGTCTGTCACACAGTGCCCTCCCCCCTCCAGCTGTGCCATGAGCTCACTGCTTCTCTACCCCACAGGGCTGTGGCAGGCAGCTGGGGCTCCAAGGGCAAGAACTCAGCTCTGCCCAGGGCCCCAGGGGCAGAAGATTGCTTCCCCCAAAGCCGCCAACCCTCCTAGTCAGCCCAGCTGCTACAAAATACCACTCCCCATCCTCAACCCTCTAACAAAAGGCTTCATTTGCATATGGTGTATCATTTACATATGTCTCCCTTTCTATTGGGAGGTTCTGAAATCCCAGCTGTCCTTTTCTGTCTTTTCTCAGACAAGCCAAACTCTCTTCTTCATCCTATCTTCACCCTCTTCCCTATCCAGCTCCAAGATACTCCTAGTGGCCTTGAAGGCTCAGCTTCTTCCTTCTCTCCTTCCATAGACCACCACACTATAACAGAACCTTGGAACATAAGGAGGGCTAGATCACTTCCCTCCTCCCATTTTATAAATAAGCAAGTTAAGGCAGAAGTGAAGTTTCTTGAGCAAGATCTTACGGCCACTGGATGACTCCCATACACCTCTGCTGAGAGATAAAGTGAAGGAGGAGATTAGGAAACTCCAAGCAGAGGCTTGCAGGGACTGACCTCACCCCCCAGTGCCCAGGGGGAAACTCATGGCCTTTCTTCAGGAACCAGAGGAAAGTAATGAGAAGTTGATAGCCAGACTTCGCTCTTCAGTTCTCCAGCATTGTTAGGTACAATCGAGTCAGCTCCGACTTACAGTAACTCAACAGAGCAAAACCCTGCCAAATCCTGCACCATCCTTGCAATCTCTGCTATTATCTCCCGTCCCAGTTGGCTCTTAGCCCCTTCTTCCTGTGTCCGAATCATGGGACACACTCATGGTCAATTCCTTCAACACAGACTGGGAGTCAGAAGGTTGGAGTTCCGGTCCAATCTCCATCCCCAGCTCTAGCTGAACGGCCTGAGGCCTCTCTCTTCCCCTCCCAATCCACCCCAATTTCCACACTGAAATGGAGCTAAGAGCATCCAGTTCTAATAGTGACTATGTGACTCAGGAGGGCCCTGTCTGAGGCTTGTTGCATAATCAGGGCAATGATGGAGACAGTCAAACTGATGCCTTCCCTGAAGCCGCCTCAGGCCTGGCCAATAACTCCGTTCAGAACTGCCCCCTCCCACCCTTCTGGCTCCACAACTGCTGATGCTCAGAGATCCCCATGGGAAAGTCACCCCTACTGCCTTGGGAAATCCAGCTCTCTCCTCAGTCGGGCCCCACCTTCCTCTTAAGCCACAGAAAGGGGAGGGAGAGCAAAAGGCCTGCTTTTGGGTCACACTCATCTGAGTTCCAATACTGACCCCAGAGCTCATTGGATGTGTTCTCTGGATGTTTCCTCATCTGTGCAATGATGTCATCTGTGCAATGAGTGCAAGTGCTCACTTGCTCTCCAAGGCTTCTCTTCAAATGACACTTCCCCACCTCCCCTGGCTCCTTCCTGCTTCATGCTGTCCACTAGGGAAAAAACGGGCCAAGTGCTAGGTAACGAGGCCCCATAGCTCCTTCTCTCTACATCTTCCACCTTGTCCCAGGGCCCCAAGAAGAGCACTTATGCTGGCCTCAATGCAGCAGGTGGAGACACTGCTGGTACCACCCTAGAGCTCCGGTCTAGGAACAGGCAATGATCAGCCTCTCTCTGACCATCACAACTCTGACTACAGCAGCTCCAAATTCTGGCACCCAAGCTAACACCATCATCTCTCTTACCATATCGCCATACTCTCTCAAAGCATCAATCACCTAAACACTGATTTTAGATGGCATACTTCTCCCCAGACCACCTGCTACAGGAAGTCCTCCAATTCAGGCCAAAAACTATTCACTGTGACTATCTCACACAGCCATGCAGGAGGGGACCAGAACATCTTATCACACAAATGCAGAGTGTTTAGGGATCCCAGGATCTCCATGGATCCTGGTTCTCCCCAGGCAAAGCGGCTAGAACTAAAGGGGTGTGACGAGGTGGAGGGAGGGCGAGGCCTAGGAGCCAAGCGTCATCTGGAAGAGGGGGAGAGAGGCAAAAAGAGACTGATCCAAGGTGGAGATGGGGTGAAAGAAGGAACTGCCCCTCAACCTCAGATAATGAAGGGGGGTCGGTAGAGGGGCAATTATGGGAGACTGAACTTCAAAGATCGTGGGCAGAGAAGGACCCTGGGCCTCTGGCCAACTCTGGGGCAATTATGAAGATGGGCAGTATCTGCCCACGCAGGGCGGGCACCCATGGGAGGGCCTGAGATGAGTGTGGGGCAGAGAGGAGCAGCACTACGTGCCCTAGGACCTGGATACACCAGCTAAGTGGCACCAGGCCTGGGAGCCTGGCGGTGCCTGGAGGCAGCACCTGGTGCGGGGGCGCCTTGTGCACCCCCCCCCGGGGCCTAGAGCTTGGGAGCCTTACCCTCCCCAGGACTGGCTCAGCGAGCAGCTGGGTGCCAGGCCCGGGGAGGCTGGAGCCATCTCTGAAGAAAGGGGGTACGAAGGTCTCCAAAATTCTGTGGGGGGCAAGCCGGGCCAGGCAGCCAATGGCGGGCAACTGTTTAGTGGGATTGGGGGTCGGGGTGGCCTGGGGGCGGGCTGGGGCCGGGCTTACCCAACATTAGCAGCAGCAGCAACAGCAGTGGTGGCGGCGTCAGCAGCGTGGGGCCGAGCGCGCCCATCCTGAACAGCTGGCGCCGAGGAGACTCCAGGGGACAGTGAGGGCTCTGAGGGGTCGGGGTCGCCGGGGGCGCATGCCCAGGTGGGGGGCACAGAGCACAGCAGCGAGGCGTGGGTGCGCGGAACTGAGCGGATCAAGAGCTGCCAAGTCCCCTCCCTGCTCCTCCCCCGGCTTTTCCTCCCGCCTTCCGCAGCTTGGAAAGCCGTTTCCCGCCCCGCCCCGCCCCTCCATGGCCCCGCCCCGTCACGTCCGGCCCCGCCCCGGCCGCGGCCCCGCCCCATCGCTGCCTACCCTCGTCCTGACTGCGACCCTGGCCAGGGCTCAGGTCTAGTAAAGCGATGACACCTGCGCATATCCAGATCTCCACCTATTCCCTTACAGAGCACACCCACACTATGCACCTGCCAGCCTTGCCCTGAAAGTTGGGTGCAGGGACCTTGGGATGTGTGAGCTGACCACTTAGAAGCCAGTTATTTACTCTGGGTGTCTGGGGGACTTGCTGCAAATCCTGCCACTGTCGGAGTAGGCGGGCCCATGGGCGGGGCCCAGGAGTTCCAGAAAGTCTTGGGGCTTTATGGCTCTCAGGAAGTCAGCAAAGACCGGTTTGCCACCTGGGTTAGAAGCGTGAGTCTTCTGGATGCTGTCACTTCCTAATTGGGTGATTCTGGTCAACTTGCTTAACCTTTAACTTCCTCAGAATTCACGTCAGTAGATTGAGAGTGATGACATCCACCTCAAACGGTTATTGCAGTTATTAATTGAGACAGTGAAGTGCTTGACACAGCGTGATGCGAAACGAAAATCTATTTTTTTTTTCTTGTTTGGGTTTTGACTTATTTAAACTGCTTCCCAAGAGGTTTAATTTAGATGTAAGGAAAGGGTGATTTAAAAAATTATTACCAGAGTGAAAAGGCACTCATTGTTGTCTTTACAGAGGGTTTTCAGACGCTGCAAATTGTTTGGGAGGAGATTGCCTATCTTTCATGAAGTCCCGTGTGAATTCGACTTTCCAAGGAAAAGCCACCTTTGGATTAGTTGTGCAAGTCCCTTAGGACTACACTACCAGAGCTCCCTATGGTTTAGAAAGAGTCTCAATTTCCAGTGAGGAGAGAGAGACCTGATAAGGGTGAGGCTTGCCCTGGAGGGGGAAGAATGGAGGAAATTTTGTCCCAGTAACTCTTATCTCCACCTCAACTGTGGTTGTGTTGTTGTTATGTGCCCTCGAGTCATTTGTGACTCATAGCGACCCTATGTACAACAGCTCTAAACCCTGCTCTATCCTGTGCCAATCGCACTGCCTCTGACACACCCATCCCAATTACCCCAGTCACTGAATCAATCCATCTCACAGAGGGTCTTCCCCTCTTGCCCCGTCCCTCCACCCTCCCAAGCATGATGTCCCTCTCCAAGGACCTGTCCCTCCTTGCAACATGCCCAAAGTATGTCAGACGAAGCCCCAGAATCCTTGCCTCCAAGGAGTAGCTTGGTTTAACCCTCTCCAGGATGAATCTGTTTGTTTTCTTGGCAGTCCAGGGTACATTCAATACTCTTCTACAGCACCACAGCTCAAAGGCATCAATTCTCCTTCTGTCCTCCCTAGTCATGTCCAACTCTCTGATGCATAACAAGTGATTGCTAAGACCATGGCCTGTATCAGGCGCACCTTAGTCTCCAGAGACACACCGTTGCTCTCGAGTACTTTAGAGAGGTCATTAACAGCCAACTTTCCCATCACAATACTTTTTTTACTTCCTGGCTGCTGGTGCCAAGAATGTTGACCGTGGAGCCGAGCAAACTGAAGCTGTGAACAATCTCAATCCATCCTGATGCTACCAATTGGAGGAGAGAGAGACCTGATAAGGGTGAGGCTTGCCCTGGAGGGGGAAGAATGGAGGAAGTTTTGTCCCAGTAACTCTTATCTCCACTTCAACTGTGGAGAAAAGGGAAATAGAAGCAGGAAGTGGGGCCAAATGGAAGGAGTGACAGTCACCTAGATCTGCAAAGTTAAGGCTGTCAAAATGGCCACTGGTAGAAGGCTGATCCATGAGTTCATCTAGCATCCTTCATCCCTCTCCCCATGCTCCCACTCATTTGTCTGCCTTACGCTCCTTTATAGGAGAGCAAAGAGGACAATGTACTAAACCAAGCCATCTTTCACTTTCTGTTGCCAAAGCCTGGCACAGTGCCTGACTCAGAGGAGGTACTTGAGGAGCTGCTGCTTGGAGCCACACTTGTGAGCCTGGGAAGAACCAGAGAAGCTCTTTAGGAAGAATCCTGACACCTTCACACCCCAAATTTCCAGGACCGGACCAGAAGCAAGATAGCAGAGTCCTAGTTCATTCCTGCCTCTCACAGACTCATTTCTCCAGACTCATTTCCTCTAAATCCAGCCACAGGCCTGGTTGAACTTTCTGAGAACTGAAAGTCATGGGAAAGCTTTTGGAGGAAAAGCAGTCTCCCTCTGGGAGAAAGGTGGATCTAATGCCTTCCTGATACTTGGGTGTAGAAAGACAGTAATAACAGATGCTGTTTATGGAATGACTACACAATTAAGCCCTTCAAATATTATTTCTAGTCTTTACAGCATAGTTTGCAATACAATATCATCTAACATACAAGAAACTTGAGTACTTTGCCCAAGGTCACAGATCTTATTAATGGCCAATAAGGGAATTGAGCCTAGACCTTTGCATCCTCAAACCCTTAACTCTCCTCACCTCAGCCTACTCTCTCTCATCCCAACTCTCTTAACCTATAAACCCATTGACTCAACAAAAGCTGATGTGCCAGGCCCTGTAATGGGCACTGAGATGCAAGGATGAACAAAGCTGACCTTGCCCCCTGCCCTCAGACAAAGTTGTTCTAGGGAAGCATACCATAACCAAGTCATAAACAAACCTCGGCATTTCTAGAGTACCATTTCCAGACCAGCTCCACGAGATGGATTAACACAGTGGCGATAATGGTGGGCTCCAGTATGTCAGAGAAGGTCAGGATGGTACTGGATGGGGCAGGGTTCAGATCCAGTGTTCATAAGGTGGTCGTGAGTTGTAGCAGACTCCCCAGCATTTAACAACAACAATAACAATGCAATCTCTCACTCTATGGCCTAAGGCTGAGCAGAAGCTGGAGATAGGTAAATGTTAAGGGTTAGATTTGAGTCTCCAGGGATGATGGATTAAAGGAGAGGAGCAGTTTCTTCCACACCCCACAACCCCCCACAGACTGTAAATCCCAGAGACTGACAGCAGGGGGAGCCCAGAGCCCAGGACTGACTCGACCTTCAGCTGCTTATATAACTGAAAGGGAGGGGGGAGCGGAGCAAACCCGAGGCACGAGGCTCAGCACACACTTAAAATCGCATGTACTTGCTGTATTGGAGAAGACATCATATACACAGAGCGATACACAAACACACACCCCACACACACATACACACAAGCACATGCTGAAAAAGAAGAAAAATCAGGTAGATTGGAGAGCACTCCTGTCCCCACCCATCTCACTCATTAAAAAATAGCAAACAAAAAACCAAATCACAGCCCTACACCGCAGTCAGGTGGCAGCCTAAGGTAAGGTGAAAAGAGAAAGGAGGGAGGAAGCTTATGCATCTCTGTCAAAACTGAGACACGAAGGAAGAGAGCCTGGAATTGCTGAGAAACATAGGACAGGATGTGCAGAAGAGACCTTGGGAACTCTGGAAGCCACACTGTGTTGTGTTGTCCCTATGCTGTCACTAGCTGGTGACACCCCTCCACCTCCATGTACTACAGAGTGTGAGCATACATCACACACAAGCCCTGCTTCACGTGCTTATTTGAATTCATTTAATTAGACCATATGTGCATGGCACTGAAGGTGTCATGAGTATCATTAAAGTGAGGCCCAGTCCTACCCTAAATTTATAATCTGGCTAACACCCACAACCCTGGAGACAAGGCTATCAGAGTGGAGGAGCATGTTCAAAGGTAGGAACCGTTAGTGTACTCTGACCTGAATCAGATATATAACATGATCTCATTTGATCTCCAGATTAATGTGAAGAACCCTATGAAGTCAGTTCTGTCTTCACCTTCATAAGGGAAGTAGGCTGTAGAGAAGATAAGGAATTGTATAAAGTTAGTGGGCCAGTTGGTTACTGTCTAAATTAAAATTTGAATCTAGGATTGTCTGAGTGTGGAGTCTGTGCTTAAACCCTTCTTCTGGAGTTTGCTCCTCAGAGGGAAAGCCCCTCAAGATTTGGGTTCTAAGAAAGACTGAAAACTGACCTGGAGATAGACTAAAAGACATTAACTTGCATTTAGTAGTGAAGGAAAGCTTACTGACTGGAGGAAGGACTACAAGGATCTGGTGGGGGCAGACTGGTTCAAAAGACTCCGCTGAGGGTAGGGGGAGGTAACTAATCAACTTATATAAACAACCTCCATACATAAGCAACCTCCAATATGCAATTAAGCTAAAGTTTACATGTTGTTGTTGTTATGTACCATCAAGTTGCTTGCAACTCATAGTGACAAGAGCCCTAAACCCTGCTGTGGCAGACCGAGGGTAAAGTATTTTATAATGATTAATAATGAGACAGACTACCAGGAACGATATAGAACAGAGAGTGTGAAAAACAGGGGGCCAACAGTTCCCATGACTGAAGGCCCCAAGCCATGCTTCTCTGAGTATTTATTTAGAATCATAAGGAAGGTAAACAAAGTTGTCCTAAACTTGGGACAAGGTGGTGGTTTTTCTTTGGATAAGGTGGTGGTTTCTCTTTCTTTCTCTTTTTCGAGCAGACACCAGGAACCGAAAGGGAATTCGCTCAGGGTAAGTGAAACTTTCGGGAAAATTAAAAACAGGGTCATGAGAGAATCTTCACTCCTTGGAAGTTAAGGATAGAATTAGAAAAAAAATTCGTGAGGATTCTCTCACCCCTCGAAGGACAAATTCAAGGGAAGAATTAGAAAATAATTCATGGGGATCATACCCCAACCTCTGAAAAAGTATTAAAAATTCAGAGGTAGATTTGAAAAAAAAAGTCATGGGGGACACCCCATCCTCTGAAGCTCAATATATTTCTTTCGTAAAGAATTACTTAAGAGTTCAGGGGTAAAAGTAAGAGAAAACTAATTTTTGCAGTTGTTTCAGTGTGTATAGTGACATTATGGGTTAAAGCCAGTAGGTAGA